TGTGCTTTGTGGGACTCTTAGTAATGTGAGCTAACTATTAAGTAAATATGCTATGTGGCACAGGCTGGATAATCTCAGAGTGATAGATTTGACCCTATTGCGCAGCTCTCTTTTGAGTCTAACCGTTCTAGGGATGAGTCTTTTACTCGAAGGATTATCTGATCTCTGTTGCATGTGGCTATGCTCATAAGGTAGCTAGTTGATATTATTGGGAATCTTTCAGCAGCTGAGCACTGGGTGGGTTCGGGAGCCTAGGAATTCCTAGGAAATGTTTTAGTGGATTTGGTTGCACTGTTAGCGAGCATTCAGGGTATCAGTTTGAGAAGGTGACTTGGAGGATTCGGGATGATTCTTGATGAAAGTATGGATAGGTATGGAAGGTAGTATTGGGCCCGTACTACTGAAAGTACAGGATCCATACTCAAATCAGGGAGAGTCTTGGGGAATCCAGGAAGCCTGTGGGATAAGGATTCTTGGGTACCTTCGGATCTCTTGAATATCAGTTCGGTATGGTGTAGAACACTCAAGAATGGCATTCAGATTCTGGTTACGGCTCAAGAGCAGGGCCTGGGCCAGTTGATGCGTGATCGCAGAAGTTCATCTCATCGGAGATTACTCGCGGAGTTTTGGGAATGAACCTCGGTGGTCTTTCGTTCAGCCAAGGAAGGGATTTAGGGAGCTCTTGATAGTCGTCTCGGGGCCTTTCGGGCCAGATTTGTCGCGGGATAGTTAGGGGCTTATTTGGAGCCCAAAGCCTGTGAATCCTTAGAGTCCTTCAGGAAGGAGGATCCTATTTTTAGTTCCTGTCATCAAGAACGGAAGGGAGTTTTTCACCATGTCCTCGGAATGGTCGAGGTCTATCAGGAGGAGGTGATCTGGAATTCTTCAGATGATTGAGGAATTTTTAATTTCTGCTACTTCTAGGTGGATACCGAGAATTGTACCACTTTGGAATTTTGATTGAGTTTGGACAAGTTAGATCTCGGTTCGGTTCTCTGCTATTGTTTGGGTTATCAAGGATTGTTATATGTCATTTTGCATGCCGAAAAGTCCTTCATGAACCCACAGAGGGACGCATCTTGCGGAGTGGGCTCCGCATGTACCATTATCATTCCGGATCCTTGTCGGGATCCATTCAGGAGTATTATTTAGAGGATAATCAGTCATGGTTAGAGCGATAGTTCTCCAGTGGAGTTAGATTTCAGTGGTTCTATCATGGTTCAAGTATGGTCGACAATTGTCTATGAATGAACTTTGGAGTTCAAGGCACTACCGTTGCTAGGGAAGGACTGGTAGCATGAAGATAGTGGAGTCAGTTGAGAATGTTAGACGCATGGGTGTCATTCATTGGATTTTCAAGAGAATTGTATTTCTCGCATGGGTTGTGTTCGGTTAGAGTTCAGTGGTGCTGCGATATTGGGAGTGGGAATGAGGATTCGTCAGCCAGAGTGAAGATTAAGGCCTCCTGTTGTTAGCATGGGAGGTGGATTGAGGTGTTAGACTTGACCAGATTTCAAGAGCACTCCTCAAGGTTTCAGAGGATGGACGACCTTAAGGTTTGACTGGTAATTGATCGTTAGCTTTGGTAAGCACAGGTTGTCAACAGCGGGTTATTAGAAAGAAAAAAGGATTGGGAATCCTACAATTCTCACGTGCCGTGAAGACTTAGTCGGATCGAAGTGGGGGAGAACCGTTCAGGTACCCAGGACAGAAGTAGGCATGAAATGGGGGATGAGCTCGTATCCCCATCAGGAAAGAAAAACTGGCCCAAGTGGCTGCCTGAATGGAGGATAGTATGAACTGGAAGTTTGGGAAACTTCCCGACTTTGGGATCACATCTGATTGATGTGTAGCAGACTATGGGGAACCAGGTTGAGGATCCCAGGCATGATATGAGTTTAGTGTGAGATGATAGACCGCGTGGGTGCTCGACTTCGGGTGTGTTCCGATTGGTAATCAGCAGTAAGACCTAGGTCAGCGGTTGAGCTAGCGTGAGAGGTGATGTAAGACTGTGGATAGCCATAGCATTCACCAACAGCCATATAGCATAGAAGGTTTTGTAAGATTGCAGGATAGCCGTAGCATTCACCAGCAGCTCGATATCGTGGTGAATGTGGTAAGACTGCGGGGTGGCCCGCAAAATTAGTCAGCAGACAGTGTAGAAGTGTTGTCAGACTGCGGGGTGGCCCGTAGCATTCACTAGTTAGCAGGTAGTGTGGAAGTGTTGTAAGACTGCGGTGTGGCCCATAGCATTCACTAGTTGGCAGATAGAGTAGGAACGTTGAAAGACTGCGGGGTGGCCCGTAGTATTCATTAGTTAATCGTTAGTATGTTGGCATAGTAAGACTGAGGGGTGGCCCATAGCATTCACTAGTGGTCAGTCAGTATGGGGGTGTTGTAAGACTGTGGGGTAGCCCGTAGCATTCATCAGTCCCTATTCGACAGTGATAATGTGACAGGTTTGTGATTCACTCACGGTATGATCCAATTCGGGAGATGGTAGGTTGTTGGAGACCAGACGTGATGTAAGACTACAGTGGTTTTGGTAGCCTTCACTTTTCGTATTAGATTCGATGGCGACAGGTAGTCGAACCGTCATGATCGGGAAGATCAGAAGGAATAATGGAGACATGCGTGGCAATATGGTTAGGGCAGACTTCGATAGCTTAAGTCCTCTTTCGGAGGTCGCCTGGGGCGACTGTGAGGTTACTCTTGGCTCAGCAACTGGACAAGAATTCAGTATTTCATATGTCTGGCAAACGAATTGAGACCAGGGAGGTCTCGGAAGATTTTGGAAAGCATCCATGTGGCAGCATGCTGTTTCGGGCAATTTCAGTGATTGGACAGTGTTAGTATTTGTGCTTTAGGTTGCAAGTACGGACGGAATAATTGATTGATTGGGAAGTGACAAGTCACTCACAGTGGGATTAAATAATTTCAGAGTAGTCGATTTGATCCTGTTGCACAGCTCTCATCTGAGTCTAACCGTTGCAGGGATGGATCTTCTACTCGAAGGATTATTTGAGCCTTCTGCCAAGAATAAGTGCGTTGCAGGGAAATTTGGTTTGTGACTCTGTCTTCTAGTAGGAACCCCAGATTATCAGAAGTTGAGTAGTCAGTTGGGAGATAAGTGCAATGAATTCGGCAATGATTCAGTGTGGGCGGCCTGCCAGGGAGTCAGAACATCTCGAGACTACAGATTTCATACGGAGTAAACGTGATCATGTGAAAGGAATTCGTTCATCTTCGCGTTTTAGAACCCTATGAAGGTTGGTTATGATTCTGGTTACCCTGGGAAGACTAGGGCGTGCCCGGGGTGATGGCCATGTTACTTGAGTGGTTTGGCGCGTAAGGGAATGTAAGGAATGATTTCGAGGACAAAATCTAATTTAAGTGGGGGAGAGTTTTAACACATTGTTTCCAAAACAAACCCTAAAATCTGAAGATCTGTTTCAAGTATTATTTTATTTCGATATATGATTACAATTGAATAAAGAGGTTGGTGAAAAAGTGTGTAATTGGCATTATAATTTGTTTAAGAGGACTAAGGAGTGCTTTCGGGGTTCGTAGTGGAAAGAATACTTGAACATATGGCTAAAGGATAATCAAGCGGACTCGTTTTGTAGTTCGTGGATTTATATTGAAAATATTTTGTAGAGGAGGGGCTATTTAGGTAAATTTGAAGTTAAATTGAAAAGAAAAGAGAAGGAAGGGTTGGATATGTCATAATTGAGATCGTGGGGATTAAAAGGTAATTTTTGGAATTGTTTTGCAAAAGATTCTCAAAGCGGAGGGCTGTTTGGGTAAATTATGGATCTTCGTTTGAATGGAATTTAAGGTGAAAGGGTTAAGTGTGTAAGGTGACCAAACATCAGGGATTATTTATGCCTATCTGTGAAAATTAAGCATCTGGTCCCCTGTTAAGCAACAGAGCATGAGGGAGGGAGCTGTATCTGCTCTTGTTGCTTCACCCGCATCATCGGGTTATAAGGAGCAAATCCTTAGATGGAATGAAGAGAATATATATCCTTAGGCGTTAAAAGAGAGGGAGAGAGGGAGTAAGAGAGATAGGTATGAAAGAGTGCCATGATCAAGAGGAAGCAGGAGATGAGCAGGCTGCCGCCATCAGACTATGGCGTCCGTCGGAGATCTCACTGGAATATTCGTTGAGAGAAAGCGGTGGTGGTAGACTAGCAAGAACGGAATCAATCCTTCAGCACCCACTTTACTCGACACCGTGATCCCGATGGGGAGGCGTCTTCTGATGGTTGCGTTATTCCCCGACAATTGCGTGGGTCTCCGACGAATCCCGTATGTTTTCTAGAGCAATGAAGGTAGGTAAGACTCGATTCATCCTTTGATTTCTTCTCTCTCATTGGTGACTTCGATTAGAGAGAGATTAATTGTCACACCCCCAAACCGGAACGGCGGAAACGTTCGGGGGAGGAGGACGTCATGTTTAGCATCACAACCAATGAATAATAGGAAACATAGCAACACAACCAATATATAAGTAAAATGTTTACATCAGTTTGAAATCTTGTTTTAGGTACATCAAAAGTATGTAAAGTAATAACATAAGACTCTTATTGCTCCAGCTTCTCAAATTCCAGCAGGTACCTGTCTACTGATTTCCTGAGAATACAAGCAGTTTTGAAAGAATATCAACATAAAGCTGGTAATTTTTGGAATTGTTTTGCAAAAGATTCTCAAAGCGGAGGGCTGTTTGGGTAAATTATGGATCTTAGTTTGAATGGAATTTAAGGTGAAGGGGTTAAGCGTGTAAGGTGACCAAACATCAGGGATTATTTATGCCTATCTGTGAAAATTAAGCATCTGGTCCCCTGTTAAGCGACAGAGCATGAGGGAGGGAGTTGTATCTGCTCTTGTTGCTTCACCCGCATCATCGGGTTATAAGGAGCAAATCCTTAGATGGAATGAAGAGAATATATGTCCTTAGGCGTTAAGAGAGAGGGAGAGAGGGACTAAAAGAGAGAGGTATGAAAGAGTGCCATGATCAAGAGGAAGTCGGAGATGAGCAGGCTGCCGCCATCAGACTATGGCGTCCGTCGGAGCTCTCACTGGAATATTCGTTGAGAGAAAGCGGTGGTGGTAGACTAGCAAGAACGGAATCAATCCTTCAGCACCCACTCTGCTCGACACCGTGAACCAGATGGGGAGGCGTCTTCTGATGGTTGCGTTATTCCCCGACAATTGCGTGGTCTCCGACGAATCCCGTATGTTTTCTAGAGCAATGAAGGTAGGTAAGACTCGATTCATCCTTTGATTTCTTATCTCTCATTGGTGACTTCGATTAGAGAGAGATTAATTGATGGGTTTTAATCCCATTTTTCTGGTCTAATGATTTTTCGGCGAGTTATATCGCCGACGGCGGCGCTAAAAGCCATTAATGGCAATGACGATTAGCAGGGTGTTTGACCTTCATTTTGCTCTTGAGGAAATCACTGTTGGCGCCTTCAAAGAATCAAGAAATAAAAGACGGATCTGATAGCCCCGTTCCTCTCCAAAGACGATGTGGAAGACTGCTGAGTGCTTCTGACAAACGATTACTGTGTGTCGGAGATGGGAGCTTCACTGGAGGTGAGGCTATCGCTGGAGTGGAGGTGTGGAATCGGTCATGGAGGAAGGCGCTATTTGGCATCGAAGCTGGAAGCGATGAAGGTACCGGCTCCCTTAACTCCCCTGTTTGGATACTTACGTCCGAATTCTATTGTGCTAATGAATTGTTTATTGGGCTGATAAATCAATTGGCTAAATGATGAAGCTATCTAGTATTGGACTTGGAACTTAGATTGCAATAGCAAAGCCTTATTTTGGGCTAATTATATTTTTATCATGTGATTAATTAATATGGACAATATTTATTTAAATAAGGTTTGGTGTAATTATTTATATGAATATGGTTATTCAATGCGGATCGGGTAATATTAGCTAGCGACATTTAAATGTGACTTATGTTGAGGAGATGGCCAATTATACGTAATTGAGCTTATCTAAGACATATCCTATAACAAATGAGTGAGGGTAAAATAAGTCTACCAAGCAGTTGGGACATTGAATTGATCTGGGGTTAGACACCTTACTTTTAAACAAGACATTTATAATATTTTATATTAGACAGATAGGAGCACATGGCGATCGAGGATGACTTTAGGAGTTATTCATTCATGGCATGATAATGGAGAAAATATATTATTAATGACTCAATTTACTTTGAGGATGAAGTGAGTGTGGCTAATTTCCAGGCTACGGAGATTTAAGTGTGTTTGTCATCAGGTGAGTCTCCTCACTGTCCGTATGGGTCTAAGGCACCAATGTCGGTCCATTTAGTTTATGTATGATAGGAAGACCCGAGGGTTATCCCTAGGCAGTATGCATGAAAGACCAGGAGGCGGCTCCTGGCACACAGTATGTTATTATGTATGTTAGGAAGACCCGGGGGTTAGCCCTAGGCAACATGTATGAAAGACCAGGAGGTGGCTCCTGGCGCACTGTATGCTATCATGTATGAAAGACCAGGAGGTGGCTCGTGGCGCACTGTATATGCTATTATCTATGAAAGACCAGGAGGTGGCTTCTGGCACACTTATACTGATTAGCCAAGTAGAATAGTATGTATGCTAGTTGGCTTTGTGATGCTTGCATGGAAGACCATGAGGTGGCTCTTGGCACTTGTCTGTAAGACCCAGGGGTGGCCCCGGCTTGTCAAGAAAGACCACGTGGCAGCCCGTGGCATAATGGAAAGGCTATGTTCGGCACATAGCACCTTATTTGGTTATGATATATGTATGGCTCATGGTTATGTATGGCACAGTAGATATGTATGGTATGTGGTATCTGGGGAACTCACTAAGCTTCGTGCTTACGGTTTTCAGTTTTGGTTTCAGGTACTTTACTTTCAAGGAAAGGAGTCGGCGATCGCAACGCATCACCCTATGTTTTCCGACCATGAGATCTTTGGGATTATACTATGATATGGTTTTATGATGACATGCTTTGATTGTTGATGTATTGGTTTTGACATGATATGTTATTATGGATGTTTTCTTATATTGTTGGTTTTATAATAACTTAATTAAAAATGAACTTGGTCTTAAATTTTGGGATGTTACAATATTTTTGGGTTTTATCCCACAAAAATGGTATAATAACTAGATTATAACCATTTTTGTTAGAAATGCCATATTTTGTCCAAAGAAAATCTTAGTCTTTGTAGTTTTGTAATTATAACTTTTTCTTATGAATATATACCATACTTTATGTTGGATTTGGTGTCTAAGCCCATAACTATAATTGGGATGTACTTGACCCCAGTGTAGCATGATCCTTTTGGGTTGCCTTCACCAATGCAATTTGATAGGATGGACTTTTGAGAATAAGGTTATTTATGATTTATTAATATATTATAAGTATAATATATTAATATGAAATCATATTATTTAATTAGTATTGATCAAGAATTAATTTAGTGATCAAAAGAGACTAATTAAATATGGGGATTGATTGTGAAATCGATGATTCTAATAGTGTGGGCTAATGATCCATGGTTATTTAGGACGGGCTAAACCAATGAGATAATCCATGGATAGTCCATGGAGGTTAACCCATGGATCCTAGGTAATATGAAAGGTCATTGGTGTTTACAAAGTGTAACCCTAGCATTTGCCACACTATAAATAAAACCCCCTTGAGCCAAAATCGGTTGCCACAAGATTCTTGAAGAGTGATATTGATTTTGTGCAAGTAACTTATTCTCTCAAGCCTTCTCTTGCATATTGGTGTTTGTAAACCATTAGAGGCATCACACTTGAGGTGCTCAAGCTTTCAAAGGTCAAGAACTACAAGTCCTTCTAAGAGGTAAGTCATCTGACTAGTTGTATTGTTCATTTGACAATTTGTATGCTAGTTAGGATATATGCTTTGGATAATTGAAAATATGCATGTATAATTAGAGAAAACATAGATCCAAAGCATTTAGGTTTGCATGTGCACCATAGGAGTGTTATAGTGCTCAAAACCCAACAGTTTATGTTTTGTTTTTCTTAGTTTTACATCTCAAAACTAACAGGCCACAAATAAATGTTCTAAAAACTAGTGATAACCATATTTCTTGCAAATAATGCTTTATATTGGACATAGAAATGAAACATGCAAACATTTATGTAAATATTCCAAATATTTCTTGTATCCCCCCCCCCCCCCTAAAACATGAAAAACTCGAAAATATGGGGGTATGAACTCACCTTGAGTGTGTTTGTGGTTGGATAAAGAGGTGATGGAGAAGATCTTCAAGCCTAGAACACTTGAAGGTCGTTGAAGAACTCTTTGAAGATGGTATTATCCTATGAGTTTTAACACATGATAATGTGTGTAAATGAGATGAAACTAACATGACAGTGTGTAGAAACACTAGATTAACAAGAACTACTTACCAAAAATTCTAAGAACCAACTTGAAGAATTAATCCTTGTAAGGTTTGCACTTGTTTCTTGAGAGAAGAGTGAAGAAGTTTGAAGATGGTGGGGGTTTGGGGGTTCTCGGCCGATGTTAAATATGGAGAGGGTGAAGTGATGTTTGCATTGTTATTTGATGGGTAATAGCCTTGATACCTACTGGATAATATTCTGTGTTGGAAAGAATGCAACACTCATGTCACTAAGTCAACTCCTTTCTTTTCTCTTTCCAACCGAAAACGTCATTAACCCACCAAAATCACATGGTGATTTCGGTCCAGTACCACCGAAATCATAGAGTTTTCGGTCCCAAACCGAACACTCTTGTCACACCCCCGAAACCAGACGGCAGAAACGTCTGAGGGCTCGCGTGACTTAAATTGAATATCATCACAATGAATTTACATGAATCATAACATAAACATCACCATGCATCAATACATTACAATTGATATTGTTTACATCCAGTACATTGTTTTAAGTATTACACATTCATAACATAAATTGTTTGAGAGTTTTCAAAACATAACATCCTAACATACTTGATATTACCCTTCAGCTTACCTGTTACCTGAGAATACAAGTTATTTTGAAAACGGTCAACATATGAAATGTTGGTGAGTTCATAAGCAGGGTTGTGATAAAAATGATTTGTGCAGTTTATAAAACCTAGAAAATCCGATATTTTCTGAAAAGACAATTGTTTACCAAAGTGTGAAGATCCATAAGTTGATACATGAATGATTTCAAAACGTGTATAAAAGGGAGTTTTGTATTATAGTTATAGAAAAATACGAGCGAGTGGTGTTGATTTCCTCGAAAAACCCGATGTTTTCCGATAACATAAAATATAATTGTTTTTCAAATTGCTATACCACCACAACGAATGATTTTGATTACTCTTCCTTGAATACTCGGATGGTATTGGATTAATTAATTATGTGAATCGTTATAACCATGCATAATAATGACTATTTCGTCTGTCTTGGCAACCTAACGTACGCCGGGATTGATCTTAAGATTTTGTCACCCTAGACTGACCGAGTCTAACTGTAGCGAACAGCTGAGGTGTGGGGGAGTCACCCCCGTATAGATCTATACACAAACTCTCGCTCTCCTTCCAGGAGACTTTGATTATAACTACAGACTACGAACGACACTTAGAGGTGTCGCCCGATATTACTCACTTAATCCAAACAACATTGATTACTATTGATTAACGACCTGAATTTGTTTACTTTGATTACACATAAGCCTAACAAACGGGGAGAAGAGGAATACAAAGTCCTGCTACTTTCGTGAGTTATTTTAGGCTGTTGGGTATACGAAGGACACGTTGGCCCATTTCGCATTTGATTTACTTGGACCTTACTAGCAATGCTAATGGGTCACTAAGGCCCAATGGCACTTAAAAGCCATTGAGGGTCCCTTAAATATGAAATTGGGTCATAGCAGGCCTAATAACATTTATTATTATTATCCTTTGGGCCCAAAAAATCATGTTAATGGGTCACAAAGGCCCAACAAGCATGATTGGAACTTTCAAGCCCAAAGTTTTGAATGTTTACTTGTTTTAGGTATTGTATAATTGTTGGAAGGTTTGATTGGACGATTGTTATTTTTGTATCGACACGAGACCGGTCGATTTGTTTATAACGATATTTGGATTTATACGTATATTCATCTCTCTATTTTCACGAGTTTTAGTTTTTGGTATTTTTGATTCAATTATCTTAAAAATAAAATAATTGGTTCAAAATGTTGGTTTGACCCTTTTCAGCCCTTCTTTAATAAAAATAACAATTTTAGTCCTTTATATATAGAAAAGACATTTTAAGCCCTTAAACCATTTTCTTGACACCTTTGACCCATAGACTTGTTCAAGTGATATTTTTAACTCAAAACTTATTCTTTGGCAGTTTCAGCCCTTCCAGAAAAGTGTTTTTCGGTTAAAGCCCAAACTTTTTGCAACTTTTACAATTTTGGCCCAAATTCCAAAAACTTTACATTTTTTATCCTTTTTGGGAAAGAAAAGCATTTTAACCCTTGAAATAGTTTTGTTTAACTTTTTATCCACTTTTTTGAGGAGTTTATCATTTCAGCCCCTTGAAAATCATGTTTTTCGCAATTTTCGGCTTAATGGGCCGAAAAGCCCAAAAATTGGCCCATTAAGCTACAATTTACATTTCAAGTTCTTTGAAGAGCATAATATTCATAAAAATACTTATTTTAACTGTTTTGACTCTTTTGACCCTTAAGAAAACCGTAAATGGCAATTTTTTACCCAAACTTTTGTTTATTTGACAAGTTAAGCCCAAAAATGGGTTTTATGTTACAATATGTTTATCATAATCTTGGAGGGTATTTTTCTTGACTTGTTTAGTGTAATACATCTTAGATCATGTTTTTTTTCCTTCTTGGGCCATAGATTTCGAGATTTCTTTCCTTTTTGTTTACATATTCAACACATAAGCACATAAAATCACACATACATACATGAAATCATACATAGCATACACATACACATAGATCTACACATTTTACTTGCATTCTCCCCCATAAAAACTTGTGAAAATCGAAAAGAGAGGGGTATGAACTCACTTGAGTTTGTGGGTTCGGTTTTGAAGAAGAATGGAAGAAGTTTGATGCTATTCTCGGCCTAGCAAGCTTTTTGGAGGATCTTTGGCTTAGATGAGTTTAAGAGGCTAGATCACGAATTTTGTATGAGTTAAGGAGAGATTTTCGATAAAACAAAGAGTCTAGATTATGGATCCAAGCATCAACTTACCTAAGATGATGTCTCTTATGGAAAATCCTTCTTAAAAGCTCTTAAATCTCGAAATTTTGATGAAGAAGCAAGAGTGTTCTTTGAGAGTGTTTGGAGAGAATTTGTGAGGTGTGTCTTTCCCTTTTGTGTTCTCGGCCGAAGAAGAAAAAGAGAGGAGAAAAGAGAGAGTTTGCATGGATGTATGGGATTGAGTATTGTTTAGTGGTTAGTTTGCATGGATATCCCATGTATAATTGTGAGGTGGCATGTAGGAAAGTAAATTCTTCCTCCCCATATTTTGTGGTTTGGGCCGAGAGAGGGAGAAGAAAGAAAAGAAATTTGGCCTTTTTGTGCTTAAGCCCATATTATGGTCCAATTAGATGATTTTTGGCCCAGTGGTCTTTGGAGAGGGTTCACGGCCCAAAATAAATCAAGGAATGATTTTTATGGCCCATTAGGGCTATTTAGATTTGTGATGGCCCAATAAGGCCCATTGAATATAACCTAGTTCATTTTAGGCTTATAAGGCCCAAAATATTAAGTTTCATGCATATGGGTCCAATTAGGGCCCATTTAAGAGTTCTAAGTCCAAAATAGTGAAATTAGAAGTTTATTGGTCCATTAGGCCCAATAAGAAAATCCTAATCCAAAAATAAACTTAAATCGGGATTTTTAGGGTTTCCAACCTTTGTTGAATGCTTGTATAGGAATTTTTTTTGTCATTGATTTAACACAATACATGTTCTCAAGTTTAACTACAATGTCACTCTTTGTTAAGTGTTTATAGCGTATCAGAATTCCTAGTTGTGACATCATCCCCATGTTAGAGGGAATTTCGA